TCTCTCTCTCTCTCTCTCTCACACACACACACACACAAATAAATGTCGCAAGCACACAGATCGCAGACGGACCTCCGGCCACTACTCACAGTGTCGCCGCGTCACCAAGTCGTTATCAGCCGCTGCTCCGCCGTGGCACCATCGCCCCCCCGACTCTCACTGGCGCAGCTCACAGTCGCCTGACTCTCGCCGGCATCGCCGCCCAACCATCGTCGGCATAGTCGTCACGATTCTCGCCGTCGCACGTCGCCCAGGTACAGCCGCGCTCCGGACATAGTGGAGCGCCGGTTCTCCTCTGTTAAACTCACGATGTTTGACATCCTCTGCCTGAAAACGACAGCTTTGCCGCCATTCGCCGCCGCCTGAGAACACATGTTGTCGTCGCCGCGTCGCATATCCAATGTGTGTGACCCGTCGTCGCGGGGAGGGGTTTATTATCTCAGATCCACTGTGCATGTGGTGGTGGCGGTGAGGGATGGCTGGTGTGTGTTGGTGGAAGGTGCTGGACCATTATTTTGAGGCTAGGGTTTGTCTAATGAGAATTAGATATATTACATGGACCTAATTGTAATTTTAAAAATTTAAAATATAATGCCATTTAATTATTGTTAAAATATGTAATTTGTGAAAAAAATATATAAATATAATGAGTGCACATTATTGATTATTAAACTGCACGATATTGTGAACGGATTTACACTTTAAAATTACACACTTTAAACTGCACAATATTCATTCTCATTTTATTTATATAATATATATCTCTTATTTATTTTAAACAAAAACAATAAAAAATATTAAATAAAAATTATAAATATTTTGATAAATGCAAAATAATGTTAATTAATTATACATTATCAAAGTTTTCTATAAAATGACACACAATAAAAATACTCGATTGGATTAAACAAAAACAATAAAAAATATTAAAATTATAAATATTTTGATAAATGTAAAATAATGTTAATTAATTATACATTATCAAAGTTTTCTATAAAATGAAACACAATAAAAATACTCGATTGGAATACTGCACAATAGTGTTACACTAAATGCACATTAATGTATGTAGGAATGCACAAAATTGTAATACTACGCGCAACGACCACTCAAGAAAAGTCAAAAGCACATTGTTGCCAAGTCAAATATTTTTTCGCAACAATTAATGTGCATTTTATAATTTATATATATAATAAATATATTAAAAATATTATGTATATTTTAATATATTAAATAATATTTTATTTTGAATATTTTAGTTAATTCGTTCAACCAACCAAATAAACTAAATATTTTAGTTAACCTGGCGAATAAACTAAATATATCGGTTTATTTTAATTTGGTTCGAGACAGAAGTTAAACTAATTCAGGATACACTATGAGTGCACAATATCGTTAGACGAGCTGCACATTAATAACTATCATATTGCACATTAACATTTACACTTTTTTTTATGTAAAAATGTTATTTATTTTTCAACAGACAAGATATAAAAAGTATTAAATGTTAAATTATTAATTATGTTTTAACATAAAAAATGATTTATTTTTAATAATTATAATAATTCGAATAAACCAAATAATTCAGTTCATATCCAATTTGGTCTAAGACAAAAGTTCAATCGATTCAAGCTGCACAATAGCGGCCAAAACGATGCATAATAGTGTTAGACGAGTTGCACATTAATATTGTCTGACTACACATGAGCGAACGAAACTAATCGGACTAAAATTGTATGTTCAAATCTTTATATATCAACTAGTAATCACCCGTGCGATGCACGGAAAACTATTATCTATGTATTTTTTAGAAGACAAATTGTATATAAATTGTGTAATAACAAAATGATCATGATCATAAGAATAGACATATAAACATATAAGTAAACTGAAAAGATCATATATTAATGAACACTTCCCTATATACTACATTATTGGTTTGATTTTTTGGCACGTCATCTTCGCCACAAATTA